ACAAAACGATATTCTGTTGGTTAAAAAACAGAAGCCGATCAACGGAAAAGACTAAACAAGGGAGAATTAGAAACAATGGAACTCAATAATCTACTGTTGGATAATCTGGGGGAAAAAAATAACTACTGAGGAAAGAACTCCCTTCCTGATTAAAAACTGCTGGCAAACTTGGAAAACAGTCTGGCAGAAGTTAAGCTTAGATCAACACCTAAGTCATAATACACAATATATTTTAAAAGGATAAGTGACCTTAATATTAAAGATCATATTATCAAAAACAGAAATGGATAATATACTTTTCAAGCTATAAGCTGGGGATGAATTCTGAACCCAAGAAAGGATAGAGACAATTACAAAAGATAAAACAGATTAAATAGAATAAAATAGAGATAAAATTAAAGTGGAAATAAAAATAATTTGAAACTTTTTGAAAAGCTTCTATATCCAAAATCATACATCTAAGTTAAAAAGGGAAACAAATGGCAAAAAAATCTTTCCATCAATTTTCTCTGATAAGGATTTGTTATCCCAGATACATAAACAATTAACAGATAAAACATAAAAAAAAATATATTCCGCAGATAAGTGGTGAAAGGATACGAACAAACAGTTCTTAAAAGAATTGCAAACTATTAATAACCATACGAAAGAATATTCCAAATTACTAATAATAAGGAAAAGGAAAATCAAAATAACCTTGAGGTTTCACCATACACCTTGAAAAATTGGCAAAGATAAAAAAAGATGGGAATAGTTAATGCTGGAAGAGTTGCAAGAAGATAAGCACAGAAGATAAACAAACATTGTTAGTAAAGTTGTGAACCAGCATAATCATTTTGGAAAGCTTTTTGGAACTATGCAAATAAAATGACAAAAATTTCCACATCCTTTGACACAGAAATTCCACTACTATGCTTAAGCCCCAAGGAGACCATTAATAAGGAGAAAGTGCCCATATCAATCAATCAATTAATAAACATTTATTAAGTTCCTACTGTGTTCCAGGCACAGTGATAATTGATAGGGATACAAAACGAGGCAAAAGACAGTTCCTGCCCTCAAGGAACTTACAATCTAATGGGGGAGACAACATGCAAATAAATATACACAAAGCAAGCTACACACAGGATAAATGGGAAATAATTAAAAGAGGGAAGGCCCTGGAATTTAGAGGAATTGGGAAAGGCTTCCTATGGAAGGTAGGATTTTAGGAATGACAGAAAGCCAGGTAGGTCAGTTACTGGAGCAAAGGACAGAGCATTCCAGGCACAGGGGACAGCCAGAAAAAAAAAAGCCTGGAGCTAAGAGATGGAGTATCTTGTTCCTGGAACATCCAGCAGGCTCAGTGTCACAGAGTCAGAGAGTAAGATGTTAAGAAGACTGGAAAGGTAGATGTGGCTACGAAGGTCTTTGAATGCCAGAGTATTTTGTATTTGATCCTGAAGGCAATAGAAAACCACTTGAGTTTATCAAGTAGGGGAGTGACATGATCAGACCTGTGTTTCAGGAAAATTACTTTAGTGTATGAATGGAGGAGAGATTAGATTGACTTGAGGCAGGCAGACCCACCATCAGGCTATTGCAATAATACAGATGTTTGGTGATGAGGGCCTGCACTAAAATGGTAGCAAAGAATTGAAAATAAAGCATATACCCATAGATGGGCTAAACAAATTGTGCTTTAAGAAATAACAAATATGATAAATACAACAAAGCACAGAAATATCTATATTAACTATATGGAATAAGCAGAGCCAAAAAGACAATATATACAACTATCCCAATGTGAACAGAAAGAACGACAAAAATATTAAAAGCACAAAATTACAAAAAACAAGCATGGCTCCAAAGAATAGATATTAAGAAGACCCTCCCTCTCCCACTCCCAGGGTCCAGGAATGTGGTTCATTTCATAGATTTTCAGACTTTTACAATATATTGGTCAGCTTTGCTGATTTTTTTTCTTTCTATCCTCTTAAAAAAATGTTACATGGAATGGCTTTCTGAGAAAGGGCACTGGGAGAAATTCTGGTGATTTAAAAAAGGGATAAATAAAAATGTGTTTTTTTAAAAAGACAGCTCAAATCTCACCTTTTATCAGTGGTGCCCCAATTCCTCTCCCTCCCACCCAGTCCCTGGCCTTTAAGAGCACCTTCAACTTATTCTGTACATATCTTTTATATACATAGTTATTTGCATGTTGTCTCTCCATTAGAATGTGAGCTCCTTGTGGACAGGGACATTGTTTTTGTCTTTCTTTGAATCTCCATTGCTTAGCATAGTGGCTACCACTGTGATTAATAAATGTTTGCCTCCAGTCTCCCCAGATCCAAAACTTCTGCATGACATCACCAGATTTTTTTTTTTAACTTAGAAGGATCCATGATCTCATTGGAATTGGTACCTCTTCCACCAGTACATACAACTACTCCTCCATACATTCCTTCCTTGTGAGATTTCTTGTCCTTTCCTTAAAGGAAACACTTATACAACGCATTAGAGATCTTCCATTTCTTTTAATATTTACAGGGTAACGGTGTTCACTCCTGCTACCATGTTATGCCTCATTCTTGATACATGGCCCATTAAATTAGAGATTGGTACTGGACCTCCCTCTACCAGTGTAGGTTTATTCGTTCTCAGAAAATTGTAGTCTCAGAGTTGCCTAGAGAGAAAACTGAGAGGTTGTGCCTTCCCCAGGGTCACACAGCTAGTATGTGTCAGAGGTGGGACTGGAACCTAAGTCTTCTTGGCTTTGAGGCCAGGTCTCTTTCCACTACAACATGATGAATGCCTCTCTGACTACTAGACTAATCTTCTTAAAACAAAAGCTTATTCATGCCATTTTCCCTGTTCAAAATCTTCAATAGCCCTCTAATATCAGGAAGTTCTTCTTACCTGAAATGCATCAACATTGCTTAAATCTCCCACTACTAAGGTGGTCCTTGACCACCCTTTCCTCCAAAGTTCATTTGTCCAGTGAACTTTATTAGCACTTCTCTGTATCATTCACTTATCACTCAATCAACAAGCACCTACAATGTACCAATCACAGTGCTCTCTTTTAGATACAAAGAAAAATTAAAGCTTCTGCTCTCAAGCTTATATCAAGAGATGTGTAAATAAAATGACAGATTTAGAGCTAGAAGGGAACTCGGGAGCTCAGATAGTCCAACCCTCTGGTTTTAGAGAGGAAACTGACATCAAGAGAGATTAAATGATTTCCTGTCATTTACTAGCAGTAAATGACAAACCTAGGACTTGAGCCCAAGTCCTCTAATTCCAAATCCTTTGAAGAAAAGCACTAGAAGCTGAAGTATCAGGGTCCCTTCAAGTATCTCCCCTTCACAATACCGCAAACTAAAAACCCCTGGGCCTACAATTAAACTTTTCTATATGTCTTCTCCAAATACAAACGCAGACTCTTGGAGAACAAGGACTGTCTCCGTTTTCTATATGTAATATTTTCTATTGAGGTAGTTTGCACATATAACTATTTAATGCTTTTTTATTCCATTTCACACAGAAGATGGCTGAGTCTTAAGAAGGGATTCTAAGAGGCAGAGGTGTACATTCCAAGCACAGGAGAAGACAGTGTGAGCATAGAGATGGGAGATGGGTGTGTCATGTGTGAGGAATAATAAAAAGTCCTGTTTGGCTAGAGAGTTAATTGCACACCATCTTTGACATTTTCTGAACCAATGCTTAAATCTTTTATTGTTAATCTTTTACAATCTGTGTTCTTCCCTACTAGATAAATCATAAACCCCTCAAAAGCAGGAAACACCAGCAGTATGCTACAGTGGAACAATCCCTGATCTGGTCGTCAGAAGAGGTTGATTCAAAACCTTGCTCCGGAGATATAAACCTTTTCTTTATGTTTTAAAGATATTTGGCCTTTGAGGGATTCAGTTTCCTAACCTATAAAACAAGAGGACTAGATCATCTATATAGCTATTCACTAGATGATGTCAGAAGTCCCTTCTAGCACTGTCTATAATCCTATCTCTTATAAGCTTTTACCTTCCTGACACAGAAAAGGCATTCAATGTGACATAACAAAGTTTTCATGGAGGAAGGGATGTTAGAAATTATTTGAAATTGAGAATTTTGTGTTGTCTCCGCTAATGAGCAGCCAGCAATCTATGCTTTTTCAATAATGTCCATCTTGATTCAAGCCACAGAATTTTGCAAACTTCTTATAAGCCACTTTCGCTATAAAAGACAGTAACTTTAAAGGCAGAGTGGCAGGCAGCTCAAAAAGAAACAATATTCTAACACTAAATGTAGATGGTGAAAAAGCTGTGTTCCCAAACACCAAAGAGATTCAACTCCAGAAATTTGTCATTTCAAGAGACGCCCCATGCATCCTTTTTATTTGGGGCAGAGGAGGAAAAAAGGTTAGAGATTGTAGGTTCGAGGTTAGGGGCGGTCCCACTCCCCCCAAGCTTTTTATTTTGACTAGTTTTCTGTTTTGTTTGGGGGACTTTTTTTGGGGGGGAGAGTAGACAGCAGCCCGAGTGGATTTTGCCGAACCGTCCCGGGAGGGGGCACGGGAAGCAAAGGTGTGGAAGCGCGGAGGGCGAGTCCCCCCAGCCCACAGGATGGGGAGCAGAGGGGCTGCCTCTGCAGCTGTGCACACAACCCAGTCCTCGGCACTGTGGACCAGGACCCAGGCCAGGAGCCGGGCGACACCTCCCAGGGCTACGGGGCTGCCGGAGTCCGATATGCGAGGTGAAGGGACGGGGGATGGGGGGGGCAGGAGCGCCGGGGGGAGGGGCAGCAGAGGTGGAGGGGAGGCGGCGGTTTCCAGGACAACGCGCCTCCAAGCTCGCGGGACCCCGCCCTTTCTCCCCGCAGGGGAGAAGAGCAGGGGTGGGAAACCCGTCCCGCGGGGAACCGGGTGTAGCAACCGGGGGGACTTCCCCCTCAGGATTCCTCGTACTTTTCCCCTCCCCAACAGCCGGCCGGCTCCCTCCTGACCCTGACTCGCGCCCTACCGTGTAGCCTCTCTCCAGCTCGCTCTCTTCATAACGAAAAGACGGAATGTAGACCTCCATGGCCTGGCCGGGCAGGGCCGGGCGGGCTGAGGGCCAACCCCCCTCCTCCTCTTCCTGCCTCCGCCCCACCATCGCCGGCCCCGCCCCCGGGGTGGGCGGAGGAGGAGGAAGGCGGAGGCTTCATTCAGAACGAGGCGCGGGAGGGGCGGGGACGAGGGCGGGGCCTCTCGCCTCCTCCCGCCCCCCCCAGGGCTCCGCCCGAGCCCGGGGGTCAAGCTGCAATCCCGTCATGTGAGGACGCGACGGTCCCACGTGACCCGCCAGTGCCGGGGGAGCGAGGCGGAGGAGGCTGGAGCTCCTGGGGTTCGGGCTGGACGTTGGGAGGAAAGGAAGCGGCTTCTAAAGCCCAGGGGACTTCCTGGACCTGGGGTAGCAACGCGGGGCGGTCCCGGAGCCAGGAGCACTGGCAGAGTCACTGCGGAACTGCCGGGGCGGCGAAGTGGCTGAAGTGAAGGATGGGTCAGGTTAGATAAACAAGAAGTGCGGGCCTAAATGCACCTGAAGTCACAACCCCCAGCTCCCCCCCCGCCCCGCCCTCCGTACACACACACGTCCTACACACTTCTTCAGAGTTTTGTATATATAAATCTTCCTATTTCTGTCCAGGCGTGTATCATTTTTGCCTGGACTATCAGGACGAAGAGAAATTGTGGGAGATTTTTTGGTTCATATTCCACTTCATAGCCATAGGACAGCATTGATATTGCATAGGACAGGCTTACCTTCAGTGCCCCTTCACTAATTGACAGCCAGATTTTGTACAAGTACTGTGCTTTAATGTCTTTTTTTATTCCTAAACAAGAATATAGTGATATAATAAACAGAGAACTGGCCTTAAGAGCAGAAACTCTTGGATTCAAGTCAGACCTTACATACATCATTCGGACTGTGTGACCTTGGACAAGTCAGGATTTAACCTTGACCTCTCAGTACTCCAATGGTCTTTCTAAAACTGAGTTACAGAGAAGATGCTGACCTACCTTTGTTGGAAGGAATTCCCTCATGGATAGTTTCCTATCCCAAAGAAATTACAGGTCCAATCCCTATCCCAAAGGTATCCAGTATATCCCTACCCCCGGGCCCCATAATGATCTTCACATATATAATATAATCCTTCCTTGAAACAAAGAAATGCAAGTTATGCAAGACCATCTGATTCAAGGACCTTGTATAACCATAATGTACAACACACTTGTTTTCCCATATGTTTGCTGAGAGAAGGAAATTTATTTCATCATCTGTCTTCTATAACCAAGATTAGTCATTGCATTTAATCTTAGTTCAAATTGCCAAAGCCGGTGTATTGGAGAGATGTTACAAAGGTGAAATTGACAGGCCTTGGCAACATCTTGGATATGGGGGGTGAGAAATAGTGAGGATTCAAGAATAACTCCTGGGTAGCGAGACTGAGAGACTAAAAGGAATTGTGTTGCTCTGTAAAATAATAGGAAATACAAGGGGTGGGAAAAGATAATGAGTTATGTTTTGGATGTATTGAATTTAAGATGTCTACTGAACATCCAGTTTGAGATGTCTGGAAGGCAGTTGGATGTGAGATTGGAGTTCAGCTGAGAGATTGGGGAAAAAAAAGGTAGATTTGAGAATCATCAGCCTAGAGAGGGTAATTAAATCCATGGTAACTCCTGAGATCACCAAGTGAAGTAATATAGAAAGAGGGAGGAAAGAAGAAGACCCAGGAAAAAACCAACAATTCCTGTAAAGCATGCAATTTATCTACCTGTTATCCCTTGCTCTCACTAGATGACCTCATCTTTTTCACCATACATTTCCCTGCTGAAATCCTTCACTCTACTTCTTTTCAGTTCTTAATTTATTATATGCTTCTTAGAGCCTGCCCACTCTACTCATTATATCTTAGAGATTTGTGTTTCATGACTTTCAGCCATGTAACACTTTAAAAAATATTGGTATTAAAAAGATGGGGTCTTTGTTTTGGGAAGAACTTTGAGATCATTAAAAAGCTTTGCAGTTTCAAGAAAATCTAGTCTACTGTTCCTTTTTAAATTCTGGGTCCAACTTGTGCATTTTTACAGTCTCAGATATATAGAGATAAATATATAAATAAAAAATAAAATACCTGTATCACTGTCTGTAACTAGCTAGCTACCTGACGGACTAGAACTATAGGTTTTCAATTTAACTACATGTCATCTGGTTAGCAGATATTCTTTATCCTTTTAGTTTTTCTTGTGTGGATGGTTAGGCCAAATTCCTTTAAGTGGTTATAGTTTTCTTCCTGTGACTCTACAGTATTCTGGGGGCTTAGGGCAACTAGCATGATGTTTACATTTACAAATATAAGCATCTAACACACTTTACCAAGAAGGAATCCCTCCTCAACTAGCATTCTGCTTTCAGCCATGGATTGTGACCCTGACAATATCAAAATCCTTTGGTAACCAAACATCTACTTATTTTATGCCTAGTTTGATATTTATGATGATCAGAAGCTTGTCAAATAGTGTTGTATATGTTGTTATAAATTTCAAGGAGGCTTGATTAATTTTTATGTACAGACAGTTCTTGCTATATGTAAATTTGCATTATGCAAATTAAATTTTACTTAAAAAATTATGAAAGAAATCCACATTTATAAAAGAAAACCTGTTTCATGTATGGTACTATGCTCTCTCTGTGCTCACAGCTGGATTGGGGGCTTGGCTTGAGACCTCTGGCACCTGAGAACCACTCCAACACCCCATCAGAGCTCAAGCACTACTTGTCTGTGCTAGCCCAAAATCTACTGTCAGTGTTTGCTTCCCCCCCACACACACACATTCTTCCTTCCAGCCATAGAAATCCCTTTATGTAGAGGTCTTTGGACAGTCCACCTACATCTACTTAATGTAAAGTGAGGACTATCTGTATGGGCTTTCTTCTCTCCTCCCACACACAGTATGGGGAGTGCTCCCTGTGCTTCCTTTAGTCAAAATGCACAGGAGAAGGCCATATTGAGGCTCATCTCTTTTGTCTGCAGAGTTGCCTTGGGATCCCTGAACTGAACCAGCCTAAACCTACAGGAATTTCAAGATAATAGCCAGCGCATATATAGCACTTTTAAGGTTTGCAAAGTGCTTTACATATACTGTGAATTCCCACAACAACCATAGAAAGTAAAGGATAATCCCCATTTTTCAGATAAGGAAATTGAAACAGAATAAGTGACATGCCTAGGGTTACACTGCTAGTAAGTATCTGAGGCAGGATTTGAACTCAGGTCTTCTTGCTCTTAGGTTTAACGTTCCATCCGCTGTGCCACTTAGCTGCTCCTTAACATTCTATACAAAAGGGCCCACAGAATTAAGATTTTCCTCACTTGGAGTGAATGCAAAGCAAAAGGATCTACTTCCTGGAGCCAAGTTCAAGAACTTTGCCACAGATTTCATCAAAACCTGGAAAGACTGATAAACTGATATAAAGTGAAATGAGTAGAATAAGGAGAACATTGTACATAAAAACAGTAACATTGTGCAATGATCAACTGTGATTGACTTAGCTCTTAGCAATACAGTGATCCAAGACAATTCCAAAAGACTCATGATGGAAAATTCCATCCGTGTCCAGAGAAAGAACTGATGGAGTCTGAATGCAGATTTAATCATACCATTTTCACTTTTTTTTCCAGGATTTTTTCTTTTCTGTTTCTTCTTTTACAACATTATTAATATGGAAATATGTTTTACATGATTGTACATATATAACCTGTATCAAATTGTTTACCATCTTAGGGAGGAGGAAGAGAAAGGGAGGGAGAAAATTTGGAACTCAAAATTTTATAAAAAATGAATGTAAAAAAATTGTCTTCAGGGGCCAGCTAGGTGTCAAGGTGTGTAGAGCACCTGCCCTGGAATCAGGAGGACCTGAGTTCAAATCTTACCTCAGACACTTGACACTTACTAGTCGTGTGACCCTGGGCAGGTCACTTAACCCTGACTCCCTCTCCAAAAAGGAAAAAGTAAAAAATGTTGAAAAATAGTTTGCTGCTTCAAACATAATTCAGTAGAGTAGAAAAAGAAACGTTACAAACAAGACCCGAAAGTGAAGTCAGTCAAGAGACCTATGAGTCATCAGATGAAGAGGAAGAGCTTTGCCCGAAGCTTGCAACACAAAATGCAAAATCAGTACTCAAAAGTTAGCAAGAACATTTTCTTATACCAAAGATTCAGCAGTTTGCTAAATAGTTGCTGCTTCAGTAATGGAATGAGGAGGGCATAAACAGGCATTGTATTCACTGGAGTCCAGGTCATTCCCTGAATTTGTGTAATAGACCTCCTGGGTGACAGACACACTTGGATTAGAAATACATGCAAACTAGAATAGTTTGAACAAAGAATCAAAACAGGTTAGCTAGTCATTTACACAGTATGTTTATGGTAAATGATATTACCAGCTGAGTTAAAGGCTGGAAAACAAACAGGAAAAGATGTAAGCAACTCAGCAGATTTTGTAATGCATTTTAAACTTATTCAAGGCATGGCTATTGCATGGGTACATATTCCTAGTCATTCAGTGTTTGTAGGCAGTGATGAAACTGATAAATTTACAGGAGAATACACTAGAAATTCTGAAGATTTTTATTTCATTGAAAAGCGCTGTATATTTATTTATGTGAAAATTTTCCTATATGAACTATTACAAATGGACATAGGTGAAACTCAACAGTACTGTTTAATCAGAAAGGCATAGGTCTGCCAGATTATGGTTCAACATATTAAACTACCTTTCACTTTATCTTGAAAAATACTTTTGCTAAATGTGTGGGATATACCTTTCCTGAAGAAAGCCTTTACAAGCCAAGAGTGGTGTAATAATTTATTTGGAAAACCATAGTTTAGCACAGTGAGAGAAAGTAATCTAGTACAACTCTGACAGGCAAGGCAGATAGATATGAAAAAGAGAAAGATCTATTTCTTCAGATGTGGACAATTATGAATGAATAGATAGCAGCAGTCATTTATAAGCTGTCCTTCTGTTACTTTCATAGATGGCTTGCTTGTAGTAACTTGCTCCCAAACTTTCAAATTATGGTTTGATATCTTTGAAAATTGTGTGTTTGTTGACTTCTCCTCTTGTGGATGG